GAAAAGAACTCAAAACAAATCAAATTTTCAATTAATAAATAAAAATAACTTTGATTTAGTTTCAAAATGTTGATTAAACTTATTTGATTATAAATTTTAAAAGGAATTTTAAATTTAAAATTTAAAATTTAAAATTTAAAATTTAAAATTTAACTTATTTGTAAAAATAATACACAAAAAAAAAATCATTGTAAAAAAAAAGACTAAACTTGAGAAATACATTGAGTTTATTAATTACATAAATGTATGTAATTAATTTAATTATAAAAAAATTATTGAATTACCCACCAATTACTCAACCACAAGTCATGTTCTTCAATCTCTACCATGATTAATAGATTGGGTCTCTTAAAGAACCTAAGAGTTCTCACAAAGATTCACAATATCACGTGCACAAAGCGAAACATGCATTGATCAAGAGCATTCATAAGTTATCAAGATTAATAATTTAATACAGACAGAGAATTATCTCTTTCAAACAATTAAACAAGGGGGTTCCCAAAGTCTCTCTATAGAGCTACACATGGAACAAAACATTTATGTTTTTCTCAGACCAAATAAGGATTCTTAAGGTCCCATATAGAGCAACAAAATTACAACAAAGGGTTTGTGGACCAATCTTGCTACCCAAATAATTGATTCACATCCTAGGGCGAGATAACTTACTCCTTTTTACCTTGAAAGACATTAAACAAAGGACAGAGATCTTCAACATGCGCTTCGATGACCTCTATATTCTCCTTAAGGACTTCTATGTTTGAGGAGAAAAAAGAGATAAAAAAAAGCAAAATATCTATAGTCTTAACTCCTTTTAAAATCAACCCTATCTTAATTTAATTTAAACAAATATAAGACATATGTCTCTCCAAATAATTTACATAATATTATATAATTTCAAAAAATCTTTCTTAATTAAATAAAAAACACTTAATTATTTTGAAAACCGCCATATTATTTAAAAAACATGTTTTAGTAATTAAAAGCTTCATTTATTATTTTTAAAAAAACTTGAGGCGTTACGTACCCCAACTGCACCACTTTCATCAAAATACCCAAATCATCAATTCAAGTCACCAATGGACTAAAACAACTAGGATCTCAACACAAATCAACTTAAAAAGATTTAACAAGTTTCCCTTACCTCAATTTACTTTTAGGAGGCAAGAATTTGAAGAAAAAGGAAAAAAAAAACTATCAAACCCTCAATGGTTAACTTTTCTATACAAATCTAAGCTTGTTAAACTCGAATATTTGCTTATACAACATCTACTTAACTTCAAGAGAGAATCTCGTCAATCATGGTGAAGTTAGAAGAAGAAAATATTTTCCTTGACTTTATAACTCATCTCTAACTTCTTTCTAAGGGGGCATTTGGTAGGGGATAACATTTTTTCATACCCAAGAATCATGATTATTGTGAATAACTAAAATTTGTTTATATAGGATTTTTGGGAACGTATATTCCTGGGTATATTAATGTTTTTTTATTTATAAAAAATATCCTTTATTAAAATAATCTCAGTATATATATTTTTATTTACTCAAATCTTATTACAAATATGACATTAAACTATTTTAAAAAGTTGAAAACTTATTAAAAATATTTAAATACAAAAATTAACAAAAATTAAAAAAGAAAAATGATACATTGTAATTAAGAAGAATAAAAATATATTATTCCATTTTATTTAATTAAAGAATGGGGGAGGGAGGGAGAAAAAAAAGGAGAGTGAAAATAAAAGAGAAAGGGTGAGAAAGAGAAATAAAAAGATATTTTTTGTTTTAAAAAAGGATGTTATGGCCAATTTATATACATAAAACTTTCCTCCTAGTTCGGGAAAGTTGGATTCTCAGCCCTTTCCATGAGAATTTTTGTGAAAAAGTGAGATAAAAATGGTTCCATTTAAAATATGTTCTTAAGAATTTCTTTTAATTAAAATAACCATCAAACATGAAAAATTAAGATTCTCGTTTTGAAATTCTCAGAAAAATAAAAATATTTTACGTACCAAACACTCCCTAAAATTCTTTAAAAATGAACTTATGACATTCTTATTTTCTAATAGCCTTATATACCTTCTTCATTTTTGGTTAGTCTTAACCTTAACTTAAACAACTTAGCTCTTAATGATTCTTTAACCCTAAAAGCTCTAAAAACAACTAAAAGCAAAACATAATAACTCAAAACATCACCAAACACCATAAAACACATAAGTATACATAAACACAAAAACAATGTTACAATAAAAATTATTGAAAATAATTCTTTAAAAAAATAACTCCTAAAAATGTTATCGTATAAGATAATTATTCATATTTATTATATAATGATAATTTATTTTGATCATTTAACTTTTTATATTGATTTAATATTGTTTTTATGAAATAATGATCTTTTGATTTTAATGAAATTTGTCTTATTAAATTTATTTATATAAAAATTATATAACTCACAATGCTCTAACCAAACAGTAGCATAAAATAGTAAAGATTGCATAAAAATCAAGTTTGCGTGTAATAAAAAAATTAAAAAATCTAATGTTTGTTTATTTTTGATAGACTACAGGACTCAATTTTCACATAATTTTTATCATGTTAATAATTTTTTTTTTCAATTTAAACATTACTTAAGTTATATAGTTTTCATGTGGATAAATATGATAAAACAAATTTCATATGATGGATAAGTAAAATAAGAGATTAAAATTGTTTCCCATAATCTAAACCATTATTATTTCCAAAGAATAATATTAAAATTTTTTGATTCATAAAAGTTTTAAATAGGAAATGATACTCTCGTAATTACCAGACAAAGAATGAATAAGATATTATAAATTTGTAAACTAAATACTACTATTTACTTTTGGTAATATTCTCCTTAACATAGGAATAATAATATTAACCTAAATTTAAAACTTAAAAGACCGAAATAAATTCTAAAAACAAAGAACTAAAATTATTTTTAACATTAAAACAAAATTAAATATATATTTTATGCATTAATTTATTAATGTTTTAATTATTATTCGTATAATAAATAATAAGTAATAGTTTACATATTTTATTAAATATTTTTTTTGAGGACATGTATAAAATATTTTAAAACTCTAATATCCGAATATTCCAAACAACCATTCCTTTGTAACTTAAAAGAAGGTAGTAATAAGCAACTTTTATACTCACTAAACTTTTTAAAAATTTGTACCACGAATATCCTAACGAAGAATCTATGTACAGTTTCTCTCAAATAAATAAAAGAGCAATATTGCGTCATATTTTCACAGTAACTAATATTTTAATATGTATAATATATAAATTAAATATTTATTTTATATAATTAAAATTTACAAATATTATATTTAAATATATAAATTATATTTTTATTTATGATAAATTACCTTCTGCATATAATATATGGATAATTATCTTATCCAAAAAGATTTTTATGATTTTTTTTTGACAAAAGATTTGTTTAAATTTCATATGATATGTAATTTGATTTTTATTTATTATAATTTATACATCTATACATATTATAAAAGAAATATTGGAGGTATATAATTATTTTTGGTCTCCACTTTTTAGTGAATCGTTATAGCGCTCAAATATAAAAAAGTTCTTATATTTTCCCTGAATAACTATACACAATCTTTTAATATGCTATCTGTATATAATTATTAAAAATATGAAGTGTCTCAATCCATCTAGTTGTTTATAAATTTAATTTTAATAATTAAACATCAATTATTAAAAATAAAATAATATTTTATTATTATATAAATTATTTAGTATAAATTTAACAAATATTTTTTTACATGTAAACTATTTATTTATGTAAATTTTAAATATAATTTATATCTTATGTATTAATAACTTATTTTAAATTTTAGTTATCAACTTTGATATATTAAATACAAATGATTATTTTGCATGAAAATATTTAAGAAGCTATTCATCAATGAAATATTTTTAAAATTCTTTCAACTTTTTATAAATTCAAAATTTTTATTTATTATATTGATTCATACATTAAAATTTATTATTTTAAATAAATTATTAATAATTAAAAACGATCCTGTATCACAATATATATTATTTATTTTAAATAAAATTATAATTTATATATTTAAAAATATTTATTTATACAAAATTTTAATATAAATAATTTATTATTAAATTTAATTTTAAAATGAACATTTAATCTGTAAAAAGGCACAAACTAAACTAATTATAATTAATAAATAAAAATTAAATTAGTCATAGGTTTTTATTAAACTAAAAAATATTAAAATAATAAAATAAACAAAAATAGGGTGTAGTAGTCGAAAAAAGTTTGTGCTACGAAAAGGTGGCTGCTCCAACTGGGAGTTATCTTTTTGGATTGGTCCTTTTAACCCCATCCCCTGGCACCAGCAAAAAGGTGAAAGTGAAATTTAGGAAGAAAAATAAAAAAGCATTTAAGTTTATTAAATTACTAAAAAATAATTATTAGTATTAATAGCAGAGAGAGAGAGAAAGGTGTATCCATCGATCCACGTCCTCGCGCGTCCTTTGTGTATAAATAGCAGAGAGGGAGACAATACTCGGCTCCATTTATCACAGACCTCGCTCAGTGCTTTCACAGTTTCACTCACTGTTGTGTTCAGTAGGGTTTTTCTTTATCCCCTTTTTCATCACCAAAATCAGAGAGAGAGAGAGAGAGAGTGAGAGACGCCGATCATGGACGCGCACGCCGTGCATTTGGCCCTCGCGGCGCTTGTCGGAGCCTCCGTCGTCGCCGTGTCCGCCTACTACATGCACCGGAAGACGCTCGCGCAGCTCCTTGAGTTCGCGCGTACGGTCGAGCGCGACGATGGCGGCGGCGGCGGCTCCGATGCCGAATCGTCGCCGGCGCTTGCGAAGAAGCGTCGCGGCGGCGCGAGGAGGAGGGCCAACGGCGGGTACCGCCGCGGCTCGGCGTCTTTGCCGGACGTCACGGTGATCTCCGGCGCGTTCGACGGGGAGGAGAAGCGGAACGGGCCGGTGCATGTCGAAGGGATTCCCGCGGGCTTGCCTCGGCTGCAAACGCTCCGTGAAGGTATGGCTGTGGTGAGGCTTTTCGGGTTTGATCGATTATTGCATGCTTTTTGTCTGAGATTGCTTTTTGTGAGGGAAGGGAGTTGAGCTGTAATCTGGTGTTGTCTGGTGTTGAATTATGTTTTAGTTTTGTGTGGTGGTCTTTTGATCGGTTTTGTGGAGCTTGGGGATTTTGCATTGGGTGGAGAACTTTCTATTTGTGGGGCGCGGATTTTACCTGTTTTGGTGTAATTGGGTTCTAATTGGAGTCAATTTGAGGTTGATTGAAAGGAATTGTTGATCGTGTGTTTGACAATTGATACGAGTTTTGGTCTGTTTCGGTTGTCATAACTATGGCTGAGAGAAAAGTTCAGTTCACATGATGGGTGGGGATGATGTTAAAAATCAATAATTTGTATTCATGTATTACTTGATATGTAAAACAGGGTTATTTGGGAGAAAAGAAGTGAGAATATTGCTGGACGTAGACGAGTCTCCATAACAGTTTAGGAATCTGAAGTTTAAGGAATTGAACTACTTTGCCTATTTTCTCCATCAAGTGTCAGAATTTTATTTAGAAATATTTCCTCCTTCAATTTCAGCTCATTTCTTTTGTCTCTAGTGTTAGAGCTGACGTGGATCAAGAGATATGATATAATTAAACGCTTGAACTTGTAATTATTCATTTTCACTAAAAACGTAAGAAGGTAATAGGTTCTGCAGGTTCCGATGAATAAAACAGAAATCTCATAACTTCAGGCGGAAATGAAAGTTGAAAAGAGAAGAAAGTATAAGGGGAATAAACATGCGTTGGAATGATAAATGGACTGAAAAAGCTCTCACCCCCTTTGAATAATTTCTCTTTGTGGACCAGTCTTCTTGGACCCATATTCATCTGACATACCAGCTAGGAATTCAGCTATACAGTATTGGAAGATCATCATTTTCTTTAAGAAAGTCATAATTATTTGTTTTCTTCACATGTTACTAATTTACCTTTGCAATGTCTCCAGAATTTAGATATACATTAAATTCTTTCTTGTTTTTAATCCATGGAAAGGTTCTTGGGCAACATTGCAGTAGCATCAACTTGTGTTTGCATTATACTACACATCTTTTTTAATGCACTATCTGCACATGTTCATCTTAATATTTTCCTGATTTAAGATATGTTTTCTAACAGGAAAATCTGCACAATCTGGTTCCTTTAAGAGAAGTCTTTTAAGACCAACTTCTCCCAAGTCTCCTGTTGCAAGTGCTAGTGCCTTTGAAAGTGTAGAAGGATCTGATGATGAAGATAACATCACTGACAAAGATAAACTGGATACTACGTATCTGCACACAAATGGAACTGTCGTAAGTCTGTTATGCACTTGTGTTAAATTAAGTGTATCATTCATTTGATATTCTATGTAAAAAGGTTTCTTGTTGAGATGATAAGTAACTTTCGCCCTCCTCTTTCAATGCCTCCTTGCTCGTGACCCTTGGCCATGGACTTGGAATTAATCTAGCTTTTCCTCATTACTCTTTCACTGTGCTTTGATCATCACATGATGCAGTGTTCTATATTAACTAAAGTAAATAATTTCAATGATCTGAGTTGAATTTGCAATCACCTGTATGCAGGTGCCTGAAGGTAAAATCCCATATGAGAATTTGCCTAATCATGTTAATGCCAACGGAGAGCCTCTGGTTGCTTCAAGTATGATCCGGTCACATAGTGTTTCTGGTGATCTGCATGGTGTGCAGCCTGACCCAATAGCTGCTGACATTCTTAGGAAAGGTCCTGAGCAAGAGACTTTCACAAGATTGAAAATTACTCCTATTGGTATGAACTATGAAATATTGCTCATTCCCTTGAGTGCCAATAAATTTGTTTGAATGATTTTTCTCCTGACATGCATAGAATCCACCTCCTTAAGAAACTTTTTGGATGACAATATTTGCAATTTTTGAAAATCATATAGCAAACTATAATTGTTATATTTTCTGTTTAGAGGCTCCGTCACCTGATGAAGTTGAAGCTTATGTGGTTCTTCAAGAATGCCTTGAAATGAGAAAAAGATATATTTTTAGAGAAGCAGTTGCTCCATGGGATAAAGAAATTATATCTGACCCCAGTACTCCTAAGCCTAACCCAGACCCATTCTTATACATCCCTGAAGGAAAGTCTAACGTGAGTTTTTCTCCCACCTTTGAAAACTTGGATCCCCCTATTTTTAATATCCTGTAATTTAATTAGTAGTATTTCTTTTGGTACAGCATTACTTTGAAATGCAAGATGGGGTTATTCATGTATATCCAGATAAAGACAGTAAGTAACAAAGGAATTTGTTATGATGAACTCGGTAATTTTATCACCACTCAAAGTGGAATTCTTATGGATGCTTGCATATTACTTGTAGCAAAAGAAGAACTTTTTCCTGTCGCGGATGCTACTACATTTTTCACTGATCTTCATCATATACTTCGAGTCATAGCAGCTGGGAATATTAGAACTTTATGCCATCACAGGCTCAATCTCCTAGAACAAGTAAGTACATCTCTAATTTACCAAATGAGTAACAAACTGCTGCCTATGCATGTATTTTAATTTCACATAAGAATCAATGGTTGTTTGACAATTTGTGTATGTATTCAGAAATTCAATCTCCATTTGATGCTAAATGCGGATAGAGAATTTCTTGCTCAGAAAAGTGCTCCACATCGAGACTTCTATAATGTTAGAAAAGTTGATACTCATGTTCACCATTCAGCATGCATGAATCAGAAACATCTTTTAAGGTTCATCAAGTCAAAGCTGAGAAAAGAGCCTGATGAGGTGATATTTTGGATCTCTTTGTTGCTGTGATGTAACATACTTGCGAGTGGCCCTTTTTCTGACAGTCATTGTCATTGAACTGTTAGGCAGAGGAGATAGAGCACAAATTGGATTTTTTTTAAGCATATAAGTTTGTGTATTTTCTAGTGTGTATTTATTATAATATATTAATATTATTGGTGGGGATCAAGTTATTCCAAAGCTAACTCTTGGTAAAGTTATTTCACTCAATAATGATATACATTAATTTTTAATGATCCAACCATTAAATTAAGAGTTTTTATTGAATAGATCAAGGGTACAAGTTTTTGCAGAAGTTTGAAAACTATTTGATGTTTTATTATATAAATTCAGTAACTTGATATCCACGCTAATATTAATATAGTTTAGCTCATATTACTATAACATACTACCTATGGATGGGTTCAGTAATGTTCCCAATATGCTTAAAATGATTGGATTACTGTCATCACTTGCAGAAGTATGTATCATGATGTATTATGTTAGTTTTTAAAGGCTGATGTATGTGAACTATATTTTACAAAACTGATATGCATTGTGTACTCATTATGTTTACTTTTAACTTGCTTAGGTTGTAATATTTCGAGATGGCACATATCTAACCTTGAAAGAGGTTTTCGAGAGTTTGGACTTAACTGGGTAATGGACTTCTGTACTTATTATAATTATAATTTACTAGCTGTATGTTTCAGGAATTAATCTTGTTTTGACCTCTTTTAACAGATATGATCTAAATGTTGACCTTTTGGATGTTCACGCGGACAAGAGTACTTTTCATCGCTTTGATAAGTTCAATCTTAAATATAATCCTTGTGGTCAAAGTAGGCTCAGGGAGATATTTCTTAAGCAGGATAATCTCATTCAAGGTAACATTATTTTTGGATGTAACACAGTCAGTTCTATCGAACTCATGTGTTTACTTTTAATCATATTCAAAGTGGCAGAAATATCCTATGGCTTTGTGGATTCTTTTTGCTTGATAGAATCTACTTAAAAGTTCCAAGTAAGGTTTTTTTATCACAGATTAAAATTTAATAAACATCATCCAACTATGGATTGTGAGTAGAAACTCAATGTCGTTTTCAACTTTTCAATACCACTCCTTGAACGCCCCAAAGCATTCATATTTTCTATGTAGGGAGGTTTTCTGCACATGCCTGAGTGGGGTCAATATGCACTGCTTTGTGCATTTTGGTTTACTATAGAAGTTGTGTTGGTGTACAGGGTATTTTTGCATGCGACTCAAAGTTGGTTGGTTTTCTTGAAGCCTATATCAGTATTGTGAGATTCTGGGTTTCTTTAGTATTTTAGACAATGCTATGTGCCATTTTTTTGGGTTGCACATTTATTGCAATAGACACTGAAAAAAAGTTGAATACAAGGTGGGTCTCTAGTTCAATGATTTTCTGAAATCGAATGAATATATTTAAATGAATCATTGATGTCTGTGCAATCTTCTAAAGACATTGACATTATTTTTACCTTTGAAGACAAAAGGTTGGATTTTCCAAGACTAATTAATTATACTTGCAGTGGTTGATTATATATTCCTAGACTAATTTGCTTCATGTTGGGTGGATGCGCCTCAATTTCTTGTTAGGCTATATTATATCATAAATTTTTTTGAAAATGGAGTGTGTGGGTGCATATGGAAAAATTTGGCTCTTTAATACACACACACACACAAGTCTGGTCTTTTTTAGAAGAACCAATCTAGAATGTCTTCTCCATTAATTACTTTCTACAAAATTATCCTTAATTATTAGTCATTTATTTGAGTTTAATAATGTATTGAGCTTCTTGGTAGTCTAACTTTGCCTTGTTTGAGGAGCATTTTTTTTCAACCTTGTTTCTTCACTTGTATAACCAATAAAAATGAAAGCATTAAATATATTATTGATTATTGTTAAGAAATTAAAAGAATTAAATCGTATAAGAATATTTAAAAAAAAATGTCTCATTGGTGTTTAGGGTTATTTTGTAAAGAACATATAAATTTAGGACACGTTTATTCCTATTAACTAAATTAACTAACTACCTTAATACTTGTGAATTAGTTAACTGGGGATTTTAAGAAAAAGGACACAAGGGAGTGTGTATATATATATATTTGTGTACAAGTGTAAAATTTGGCATATATAATGTGTGTCTATATATATATATATGAAGGTTTGAATTTTGAATTTCAAATAGCCTTGGTAATCTTTATCTCTTAAAGCACTTTTATATTGCTCTTAGAAGCCACTGTCAATACCACCTGTGTGTTAATAAAGATGGAAAAGGGTTATATTGAATGACTTCAAAATTCAAATTATTATCAAGTTGTTTGTTTGTGATTTATTAGTTGTCTTCAACATCTAAGCATCTTTACTTACATGTGATAATACTATTTCTTGCATTGAATAGGTCGTTTTCTTGGTGAGTTGACAAAGCAAGTGTTTTCGGATCTTGCTGCCAGTAAATATCAGGTGCTTTCTTGAGTCTGTGTGTATAATACACCCAATGAACCTACGATATGTTTTTTAATTACCACTACCCAATGGTGTAGTAATGTTCCTAAGTATGCGAACCTATTTTGGCCAATGTGTTTGGATTTGTTGACAATAATTTACCATTTCTTGACTGTTTTTATATGCTCATTATCCCCATTTAAATGTTTGTTAACTTCCTCTCTGCTTTATTTGTTTACAGATGGCTGAATATAGAATATCAATATATGGTAGGAAGCAAAGTGAGTGGGACCAACTAGCCAGTTGGATAGTTAATAATGATTTGTACAGCGAGAATGTTGTTTGGTTGATTCAGGTATTTAGTTATTTTTTTAGATTACAGATTTTGGTTATATTTCTCTTCATGATGTAGTAAAGATATGATATTTCTCTAGTATTCTTGTGTAAATAAGTACTCTCAGCAATTGTCAATTTAACATTTTCAGTTTCATATTATAAGAAACTGAGCAATATTCCAAATCTACAAATCTAATTGTATTCGGGACTGCTAAATATTTAGTAGTATTTGGGGAGCTTTTCCTGTTTTCCGATGACTTAAATTGCTCAGGCAATTGTAGTGTTAGCAATTGATTGTAGTTCTTATAAATGTCTTGCAGCTTCCACGGTTGTACAATGTGTACAAAGAAATGGGAATTGTGACATCATTCCAGAACATGCTTGACAATATTTTTATTCCACTTTTTGAGGTTACTGTCGACCCAGATTCACATCCTCAGCTTCATGTTTTCTTGAAACAGGTATGTTGTACATCTACATTACTTTTTAGAGTAAAACCCATTTTTAGTTCTCCAAAGAGGGAGTGTCATTAGATGGGTCCGTATCATAAATATTTCAAAAAGGTCCTTCATGCATTTTTTAAATCAAAGTGATCCTCAAAAGGAACCAGTTTGATATTTTGACGTGTTCATCATTGGAGGCCCAATTGAAGACCGCTGAAACTCTACTTTTGAAATAGCAAGATTTGTGTTGTTATAGTTAGTTACCTGTGTTTACTGCTTGCACAAGTTGATTTTGCAGCAGCTTTATAGAATGTTTGGTTCAGCTTAATCTTGAGAAATGATTGCTTATTTTTCAAAAGCTCTTGCACAATGTTCAAATAAACAAGCGAGTTTCTCTGAAATAAGCTTTAACCAAACATATGTTTATTCTGGTACTATATGGTATTAATCATCTAGGCTTTTTTAGGTTGTCGGGTTGGATTTGGTGGATGATGAAAGCAAGCCTGAAAGGCGACCAACAAAACACATGCCCACACCTGATCAGTGGACTAATGTATTCAATCCAGCATTTTCATACTATGTCTATTACTGTTATGCAAATCTTTACACCTTAAACAAGGTATGTAGCTTTTCTCCAGAGAATGTATCAAATTTTCTGCATCTAACTTCATAATGAGTATTTGAATTTTTGGGATTTCTTTTGACACACCTAAGTTAACCTAATATAAATATTTCTCAGCTTCGTGAATCAAAGGGGATGACAACAATCAAATTCCGACCACATTCTGGAGAGGTATATATTTGAATATATTTTCTGTCTATTTGTTAACTGTTTTAAGGAGACCTGATGCATCATACTGGCTTTAGGCTGGTGATATTGACCACCTAGCAGCAACTTTTCTCACGGCTCACAATATTGCACATGGAATCAATTTGAAAAAATCTCCCGTGCTTCAATATTTATATTATTTAGCTCAGGTATGACCCCCCTTTGTCAATTGTTCACTTGGTTGTGATATTTGCAGTTATCAAATTTTAATTGAATATATTTTTATTAGATTGGGCTGGCAATGTCTCCTTTGAGTAATAACTCCTTATTCTTAGACTACCATCGGAATCCTTTTCCAATGTTCTTCTTACGGGGCTTGAATGTGTCACTTTCTACTGACGATCCTCTCCAAATTCACTTAACAAAGGAACCATTGGTTGAAGAATATAGCATAGCTGCTTCTGTGAGATCTCTCTCTCTCTCTCTCTCTCTCTCTCTTTCTCTCTCTCTCTCTCTCTCTCTTTCTCTCTCTCTCTCTCTGCTTGGCATGTAAACAGACAATGCTTACACCCAGGACACCATGCTTATTTTACAGGTATGGAAGTTGAGCTCATGTGATTTATGTGAGGTTGCCCGTAATTCAGTTTATCAATCAGGTTTCTCACATGCTTTAAAGGTACATTTCTTGTCGTGAATCTCCTGAATGAAATCCCCTACCCTTAAGGCATATTTATTTTATTCTTATCCTGCCATTTATTCAGGGTAATCTACAGAGTTGTCATAATCACCATGACATGAACTCCATTTTTTTCCAGTATTTGTTGGTTCCTATTAAATTTAGACACAACAATAATTATTTTGGTAAGCTAGTTGTTGCAAAGCCTTATGACTCGCATTAAAATTCCACCATGCTCCGCACCCCTGCAGACTGACTCTGCACTAGCCATTTTGACTTGTCATTGGTGAGCACTGTAACGCTGGCGCACCATTCTGCCTCCCCCCGTTTCTCATGGTGGAAAGCTCTAATACCAATTGATGAGAACTTCTGGAGAATTACACCAGAATAGCTAGTTGTTGTAGTTGGAGAGCCCAACTTATAAATCCCATGGACACAAATCCCGGACATTGCAATTGAATCCTAACCTTTTAAGAGTGTGTCGATAATATCACCAATATGAAATTGTATAATGATGATCGTGGTACATATTTATACGAATGTTACATTGTTACTATTTGCAAAATTATAATGTTTTAAAACTGATCAGTCTCTTGTTTTAGTCACATTGGATTGGTAAGGAGTACTACAAGAGAGGGCCAAATGGAAATGACATTCAGAGAACAAATGTTCCTCACATCCGGTTGGAATTCCGTGATACGGTATGAACTTATTTATTGTTAAATTATATATAACTTGTTACAACTGGCAATTTTTCACGTGATTTTAATTAAAAATTGTATTAGAATTCTTTCCATGTTTTCATGTATGGTTGAACTATATTATATAAACAAATTGAGGTTGCTAGGAATAGGAAAATTATTACCTAAAGGAGAAAATTGAACTTCCTCTACTTGTAATTTGGGCGTCATACTTCTCTGATTTCTTAACTTTGTTCGCACGGCACATGTTATGAAAACCTATTTCTTGAAAGTGTGTATATAAAATATGGTATAGAATAAATTTTGGTCCCTTTAGTTTTCACTCGTTTGAGCTTTAATCCCTATAAGTTTTTATAACTTCTTGACTTGAGATAAAATCCTAATAATTCTTTTTCCTTTGGTATTGGTCCCTATAGTTTCATAGTACTACTAGGTTCGATCCCTCAAGCACCATTACCTTAATAAGCAGAGGACCAATCTTTCTGGCAAAGTACGGACTAGTTTTGGTTAATAGAAATTATGAGGAATAAAATCTGGATTAGTTAAATGTACGTGGTTGATACTCAACAATAGGGAGCAAAAATTGCGTGAAAACATAACCAGTACAAAAGTATATATAATAGGAATCGAAACCAAAATTAATGGGAAATATTTGCTAGGTAAAAAGTCTACAAATCCTAAGAATGTTTTCTTGATTATGTGAATCTGTTGAAGGAGAATCACACTATGAATGCTGTTTACAGATTTGGAAAGAGGAAATGCAACAGGTTTATTTGGGCAAAGCCATCATTCCTGAAGAAGTAGACAAATAAGATGCCAGAGGCATTCCTTTCATGCATGAAAAATGGAGGTTGTGAACCATTTCCTTATTTCCTGTTCGTCTTTTTAGTTTTTAGTGTGCGTTGTGCAGGTTCTTATGGTTTACTTCTTGCAATTTTGCATTTCTTGGCTTTCTCCGAAGTAATCTGAATCTGCTCTCTTGTTGTAGGTAGAAAGTGAATTCGTCAAAACCATCCAACATCAGAGATGTCCTATGGTTGAAGACATTACTGGTCTGATGATATGAACCATATATACATACTATAGAGAATCAACAAGATCGCTGAGCTTGAGCATTGAGCAAGGTTTACAGCTACAAATCGACATAGCCCCAGAATAGTTTTTTCTTGTATTATTTTGGGTTAGGGGTCACAAAAATCGCATGCTTCAAGCAAAATGATGCTTGTTGATGTTAGAAATGTAAGTTATGATCCTTTGAAGGGAGACATTTTTCTCCTAAAATTTTGATTCCTATTTATCCATATAGTTGAAAGACGGTGGCCCTATTACTCGTACCGTAATGATCTATTATGCTGATGCCGTTGCAGATCTACAAAGACTATTGGCCTTATTTTGTTTAATAAATATTAACCTGTACTTTCTTTATCTTCTATTTCCTCGTTCCATTTTCTTATATCTCGTTTCTTTTCTAGTTACATTCCCGTTACATTTTTTTATATCTCTTCACTCGATAGACCTGATTTTTGGTATGTATTAATATGTATGCTCATTTTACCTATACTATTAGGAAAGCCTGAATATAGAAATGCAATAGTTAGCGTGATACGGAAACTATCTTCTCTCCTTTTTCCCCTTGTCCCTTTTTTGATACCTATCCAATTCATTAGCAGAAAACGAGTAATGAAATGAAGGATAACAGTCAAGGATTGTGCAGCCAACAAAAATGACTTGTGAAGTGGAGTAGAAGAATGGTTATGACCTGTCATGTCTCATTAATATGTTCGAGTCCCAAGTTACTTTTGACGGGTCGGTTTAAAAAAATTTAGCTTTAAATATTAAAGAAATGAGTTCGGTTAATAACTATAATTTAATTCAGGTTAGTTATTAAAACTAAAATTAACTTGTGCATTAATTAAATATAGAAGATAATTTGTTTATGTCTATAAATAAGTTAATTTTAATTTATAGATAAATTTAGTTTTCTTATTTTTTCACTTCATTTTACGCTTACATAAATGTTATTTTATTGAAATATATATTATAAATATATTTTATTTATAATTTTTAATATTTATAATTTTATGATTTTACTAGTAGAAAAAAAGGCACGTGCTTCTATGTATGTTGTCAAAAAACCAACGGAAATTAAATAATATTAACTGAACAATTAGTTATAATAATGACGAAGTAGGGAAAAAAAAGAGTGCACTTACATTTTTCGGTGTGTGAGAAGAAGTGTTTAAATATTGAAAATAACTAGAAAGAATACATGATTCAAAAAAATGTGAAAAAAAGTAGCACTATAATGGTATATATTATATTAATATTTAAAATTATTTCAATTAAGTTGAAAGGATTTATCGAGTGAAATAAGATGAAATATTCCATTTTATAAGTCGCAAGTAGTTTTTTATTTTATTTTATTTAAATTTTTATACTATCTTCAGTTTTAATACATAAAATAAGTCAGATGAACCTGACCATATTCTATATTTTAATTAAATCAAATTCGGACAATAGACAATGCTAATTGGAAGACAAAAATTTAAAATGTTCTTTAATGAATCTTAATTAGAATTGACTTAAAATTATAATTTTTAATTAAAAATAAAGAAAATATTAGTAAAGAGTATTGATGTCGAATCAGATACTCACGGATAAATGATAGAAAATTTCACTTCTCCCAACCCGAAAGAAAAAAAACAGCAGGAGGAATGCAGATGCATATTTCTTACCAAACAAATTATCTAAAATTCTAACATATGAACCTTTCAAATTGATAGTATATTTTTATAAAAGTATTTTTGTTACATTTGTCTTCACGAAATATTGTTATAACAACTTTTTTGGCTTCTTCTAGACCTTCATATCGCCTAAAGCTGACAAATATGTCTAATATGCAATTTACAAAGAGATGGATATGCATAAATAATTAGCAGTCCAGGATTCCATGGCTTGCTTGTGCACAGTAGATATCTTAAAATTAAATATTAATTATTTATGCATGAAAATTTCACTTATTATCGATGGAAATTTGCAAATTAAAACATATGACCGGATATTTATTTAATCAATTGATGCAAAGTAAAATTAATTCATTAATTGTCTCTATGAAGAGTTAACTACTGAATTTTAAGAACAAGGTCATTCCTGGAATTTTATAGCTGATCAACTAAATTAATTTAAAACATAAACTTGAATACATCGTCCACCAAAAAATTGTACTAAAAATTGTTAAAAAGAGAGAAGCCAAATTCTCAGAGGGAACTTCAGTGATGATGAAAACACGCATTGATGCTAGAAAATTAAATTTGAAATGAAATAAATAGAGAAACTACAAGTAGATAAACTTACATATAAGACCATTTGATTATAATATTAGTTAAACATCAATGGCACATACTCTCCAACTACATTTATATATATAGCTAGAGCCATGCCTCATCAGTTGAGACCCATGAAAAAACCACACAAACCTAAACTAAAACAACCTAAAACAGTAGACAACGTTAACGACTTAACCCATAAGACTCAACCTAAAACCTATATGCTAGCTAATTATTACACAACACACATTTAACCTAATAACATTTAAAACAAGCTATTCTTTCCTACGCGATAATTAAAACAGTGACACTTAAGCTAGCATAACATAAAAACAGACGTGATGATGCACTAGACATGCATGCATGCAGCTACTTATTGTGGTTCTTATTAGAAGTCCTAAACTTGGACTCATCGATGTCAATGCCTTCCTCTTGAGCACGTTCTTCTCCAGACTTGTCCATAGTGCTCAACCCTCCTTTGCGTCCCATCTCTTGGTACCCTTCTGTCCCTAACTGCTCCTTCCTTGTTTGCCCTCCCCTGCTCCTCCCTTTCACAATCACAAACACACCAAAACATAAAAATAGAGTCACATGTTGTAACATGCATAAATATGATATATATGATAATGAATTAACCTTCAGCAAGATGTTGCTGAGCCTCGAGGCTCTTGCCACCAGTGCCACCAGGAACAACAGTTTCTCCTTGCCTTGCCCTTTCGTCAAGGTCTTGTTCGTTCTTTTGTTGACGAGATCCCATCTTTCTCTCTCACACTCTTCACTTCACTTTGAATGATGCTTATGCGATTGAAATATTGTGGTGAATAATGGTGTGTGACATGAAGGGTTTATATAGAGAGCAAAGTGTGATGCATTGATATTAATATTAATATTAGAGGGAAAAAGAAGAAGGTGACAACGGATTAAAGTGGAACTGTAAGGGTGGCCATGCATTGACACGTGCGACACAGACGCGGCTTAAGGAGAAAGAACACACGCAGATGCTGTAACTCTCCATTTGACACGTATCATGCTCTAGAGTATACAGTATTCTCTAGCATTTTATTCACTACCCACCTTCAAGTTAGGTCTTTTGCTTGGAGAAATTATTGCTTGTATAATGTCTACACTGTGCATATGTAACATGTATATAGTCAAATTATTGTGTCATGCATGTCACAATTACTTTATTTATTTAATTGTATTTTTTTTATCTGATTAATATTATATATAGTCCAATTATTGTGTCATGCATGTGACAATTAGTTTATTTATTTATATTTTTATAGTTGTTTTCACTATACAATAATTTCCTTATTACGCTTGAATAGTTAGGAATATCTTTGGGTAAACATCTATTTATAATCTAATATTTGTTGAGGCGTGGACTGTCTTGTTGTTATATTAACATTTTAATTTGCATTACTTTTGTATATTAATAATTGTTGAATTGTTAGTTTCATGTACTTCTAGATAAACACTGAAATGGCAAGTCAATATTTTAATTTTCATTTCTTTTTGTCGAGTCAATATTTTGTTGAGTTGTTAACTTCATGTTTTATTTAAATATTTTTTATTTATCACTTTAATCTTGGTTTATGTAAAAAAAATTTTATATTCATTATTTTTTTTTATAATTTAAAATAAATAACTTAAAATTTCACTTTATTTGTTTTGTTCAATTTTAATATATATA